GGCTGGACTGCAGTGGCGCCATGTCAGCTCACTGCAATCTCTGCCTCCTGGGTTCAAGTGATTCTCCTGCCTCTGCCTCCCGAGTAGCCAGGATTACAGGTGCGTGCCACCACACCCAGCTAATCTTTGCATTTTTAGTAGAGACGGAGTTTCACCACGTTGGCCAGGATGGTCTTGATCTCCTGACCTTGTGATCTGCCTGCCTTGGCCTCCCAAAGTGCTCATTGTTTTTCTGTCTACCCAACTTAAAAAAGGTTCCCAGAAACCATAACCAAAGAGAGCAAATATGCAGCAAAGTCAAAAGGTATCTTTTCTTTGAACTTTGTCATTTGGACAGTTAGGTCATTTTGAAAGACTAAATTGTTTGTGATTTTTTTTATTTTTTATTTTTTCCAAAACCTTAAGTGATGCTAAGCACTAAAAGAAAATCCTTTTGGAAACAGAGTGTATTCACTTATGTGTCATGGGCTAATGAGCGTCAGAAGATCCTCTAAGCCTTACCTTGTGGGAGCTCAGAGCCCTTTGTCTTTCAAGGCCTCACTGGCTGCAGAGGGTGGAGAAGGCCGGAGACTTGAGGTTACATGAAGGTTACTGGTCTGCAGTGCAGAAAGCATACGCCCCTCATCCTAAAAAATGAGTGGAAAGCCAAATGGCTTGTGTCGCCACACCCTGATGTAGGGAATCTAGGAAGTTTGGAGCAAACACAGCAAAAGCAGAACCAAGTGCTGTTTCTTTGAATGGCCATGTTTAGGCGAGTCTGGCCTGCATGGCTTCCCGGGTTGTGTGGAGCACGAGTTTCTGTGTTCTCTCTCTTCCTGGCTTATCCCTTTCATTTATGGCTCAGGGTCATCTGTCACTCTTGACCACACCATGAGCAACTCAAATTCGTGGTTAGGAGTAAGCAGCAAGGACCTGGGAAAGAACAGAAATGATGACATACACAGTCGGGGGCCAGTCCTGGAGTCACTTTAAGAAACAAGTACTGCGCTGGGTGTGGTGGCTCACGCCTGTAATCCCTCCACTTTGGGAGGCCGAGGCGGGTGGATCATGAGGTCAAGAGATCGACACCATGATGGCCAACATGGTGAAACCCTGTCTCTACTAAAAATACAAAAATTAGCTGGGCGTGGTGGTGCATGCCTGTAGTCCCAG